CCGCCCGGCTGGCCACACTCTTCTTAATACGCCCCAGGATGCCATTGGCCTTCTTGGCCGCCAGGGCACACTGCTTGCTCATGGGCAACTTGTCATCCACCAGGACACCCAGGTACCTCTCCACAGAGCTGCTCTCCAGCAGGTCCACCCCAAGCCTTTACTGGTGCATGGGGTTGTTCCTCCCCAGGTGCAGGACCCTGCACTTGCCCTTGTTGAATGTCATCAGATTCCTCTCTGCCCAACTTTCCAGCCTGTCCAGGTCTCACTGAATGGCAGCACAGCCCTCTGGTGTATCCGCCACTCCTCCCAGTTTTGTGTCATTAGCAAACTTGCTGAGGGTACACTCTATCTCTTCATCCAGGTCATTGATGAAGAAGTTGAATAAGACTGAGCCCAGTACTGACCACTGGGGGACACCACTAGTTACAGGCCTCCAGCTAGACTCAGCGCTGCTGATGACAACCCTCTGAGTTCTGCCATTCAGCCAGTTCCCAATCCACCTCACTGGCCACTCCTCCAGCCCATACTTCCTGAGCTTCCCTATGAGGATGTTACGGGAGACAGTGTCGAAAGCCTTGCTGAAGTCGAGGTAGACAACATCTACTGCTCTCCCTTGATCTACCCAGCCAGTCATGCCATCATAGAAACCTATCAGATTGGTCAAGCATGATTTTCCCCTTGGTGAATCCATGTTGACTACTCCTGATAACTTTCTTTTCCTCCACTTGCTTGTTGATGACCTCCAGAATGAGCTGCTCCGTTATCTTTCCAGGGATGGAGGTGGTAAGGCTGACCATCCTGTAGTTCTCTGGGTCCTCCTTCCTGCCCTTTTTGAAGACTGGAGTGACACTGGCTTTTCTCCAGTACTCATGGGCACCTCTCCCGTCCTGGACCTTTCAGAGATGATGGAGAGTGGCTCAGCAATGACATCTGCCAGCTCCCTCAGTACTCGTGGGTGCATTCCATCGGGGCCCATGGATTTGTGGGCTTGCAGACTGTTTAAATGATCCCTCACACAATCCTCCTCGACCAAGGGAAGGTGATCCTTTCTACAGGCTTACTCTTACCTCCAGGAACTGGGATGCCTGAGGGCCGGCCTTAGCACTAAAGACCGAAGCAAAGAAGGCATTCGGTAACTCTGCCTTCTCTATATCCTCCACCACCAGAACACCGACCTCGTTCATCAGTGGCCCGTGTTTTCCCTAATCTTCCATTTGCTGCTGAAGTACTTGAAGAAGCTTTTCTTGTGTCCTTGACATCCGTTGCAGATTCAATTCCAAGTGGGCCTTAGCCTTCCTCATTGCATCCCTGCATGCTCTGACAGCATTCCTATACTCAAGTGGCCTGTCCCTCTTTCCACATTCCATAGACCTTTCTTTTCCATCTGAGTTCCGCTAGAAGCTCCTTGCTCATCCATGTGGGTCTCCTGCCTCCTTTGCTAGATTTCTTGCTCAGGGGGGATGCACTGATTCTGAGCATGGAGGAAGTGATGTTTAAACAGCGACTGGCTCTCTTGGACCCCCCTACCTTCTAGAGCCCTGACCCATAGGATTCCTCCAAGTAGGTCCTTGAAGAAGCCAAAGTTAGCTCTCCTTAAGTCCAAGGTTTTGATCCTACTTATTGCCCTGCTTCCTCCACGTAGGATCCTGAAGTTCACCATTTCATGGTCACTGCAGCCGAGGCTGCCCCCAGCCTTCACATCCTCAACCAGTCCCTCTGTTCGTCAGTCTCCACACTAGTGCTTGTACAGTGATTAACAATCATGGAGTGCCAGCTCGTCCTTTTAACTTGGGTCTGATACTCCACGTGTAGAGTTGTCGCTCTGTAGATGGAGGGGTGGGGTTGGGGTATGACTGAAGGATGAGAGAGGCTGGAGGCATTTTCCTTACTCTGAGCATGGCCTGATGCATTACTGGTGATTAGGATCTTTGTTGGTAGCACTCATGGCTGTTGTGTTGAGGTGATGGTGTTAACTGCTCACTCTGATTTTGTATGCTGTTGAGGATGCCGCGCTTGTTTTCAAAAATGGCTACGATACAGTACTCAAGGAAAATCTGAGGTATTTTATAGACCTTTCTAAATCACAGATTTTAAAAGTATTAATACTGTTTCTTAGATTTGGGAACTGCTTTACTTAGATCTCTCCTTGTAGCTGATTTGTAGAATTTAGCTTTTGATATTGATGATATTTAGTTCATTAGCAAATTTAATTTGTGTTTTTCTTTTCCTTCAAGTCATCTCCTAGTAACAGCAACTCATATGTACTGTTTGAGAGAGATTCCATCACGAAAGGGACTGGCTTACATACAGTCTCGACAAGCACTCAACTCAGTAGTCAAAATCACATCCAAGAAGAAACACCCGGAACTGATCACCTTTAAGTATGGAAATAGCAATACTTCAGGCATAGAAGTTTTGGCAGTTGAAAGGTAAGCCATCTCAGTAGCAGAGACATACGTAGTAATGATATACAGAATGCTGTCAACTGGAAATCAAGGGCATGCCCTAATTCCCAGCATAGAGTTCGAAAGTAACAGTGGTTACTTTTCTAGGAATAAATAATTCAAATGTGAACTACAAAAAAACGTGCCATCAGGATAAGGCGTATCTGCAAGACCCAGAAGAGAGGAACTCTGTGGTCTGTAACAACAGTTGTTTGGGATGGGATGTGTGCAAGTGTTTTATTTTTGTAATACATCTTAAATGAGAGTGAAGCGAGCAACAATCTGCAGACTAAAGTACAGATTTGTGAAGAGCGGGATTTAAGAAAGTGATCGTTCTTTTGTGGTATGTTTTTGAGATATCTAGATCTTCCTATGCATTGTACAAGGAGTCCAGAAGCCTAACCTGAAAACTCTGAACTCCTGAAACCTGGTTCCTGAAAGTTAGGTTTTGCCAAGCTCAACATTTGCATACTTAAGACTGGGGGGAAGTCAGAGGGATGGGTGTGTTGGGCTTTTTTCTACTGGTGTAGCTTGCTGTTTCTTGGCACTGTTTCTGACATCAGTTGGACATTTTTTGATCCTCTTTGTTGAGGAGAACTGTGTGCAATGGGTGCTCTGTTTCCACAAGAAGTGGGAAATGAGTTTCCTAGCTAACTAGGGAACTTGTTCTGTGCCTATTGGCTGCTTAGAATGAAATTAGGTTGGTAGTAGGTCAGACAAAGATAAATTAAAATGTTGCAGAGAAGTTTGTTGCTTGTTGAATTACTTCATCACCACCTTGTGGACTGGAAGAAATCCAGAAGAGGAAGAATTGTAGATAAATGGACTAGAGCTATCTATAGGAGTTGGGGGGAGAATCAGAAAACAAGGACTGCCATGCTTCAGTCGAACAATGCTATCTGTAGAAATCTGGAATTGCATGATCTATACCATTGTCAATTAATGAAAAACTTTACAGGATGGCCTGTGAAGTACTCCTCAACAGTTCTGAGTTCACAAAGGGAAAGTGTTTCATAGTATAAACAGGAAAAAACTGTTACTTTCTCAGTAGTTTTTCATTTTAATGTATTCCATTCCTCCTTCCTCCTAGTTTGTACGAGAGGAAAAATCAAAACAAGAATTATGGAACTGATACCCAAAAATTTTATAGTGAATTAATGATGGCTTTTTCTAATCTTTTTTTAAGGTATTTGATTCCAAATGCAGGTGATGCTACCAAAGCCATAAAACAACAGATCATGAAAGTATTGGATGCCTTGGAGAGTTAATAACTAAAGACTTTGAAGAGAAAAATTTATAAAGAAGAAGCAACCAAGATACTGTATATGGACACAAAGCTGACTGTTTCCCAACTGAATACTAACTTAAGAGAATTTTTCTGTTTGCTGATGGGAGTGCCTGACTAGCAGGCTTGTGATAGGGTAAATTATTATCGATTTCTGAGCAGGTTTTTAAATTTTTTTTAATTATGGGGGTTTTTTGTTTTGAAGAAATGTTTATTATAAAGGTCAGTTTGTTTGATTTTTGATGCAGCCTTAATGTGAGTGATCTACATCTTTGCGAGAGAAGATGCAGCTGGGTTTGCATTAAGTGTATTAAAGGAATGAAGCACTGCCAAGTATGGAGAAGCAGATGAAAATAGAATGGTTTTTAAATTACTGTCCCTTGAAAGTAAAGTGTCTCCATTGCCTGCCATCTATAAATGTGATTTTGCCTGCTGGGTAGTATCAAGGACTGATTAAAAACTTAGGTTTATGAGCAGAGCAGATAAAAATCTTAGAAATACCGGTTCCTTCTCATGAAAAATGGTTAGTCTATCTTGGGCTGCAGATAAATGGAAAAAATGCAAGCAATTTGTTAAATTAACTTTTTTAAAAGTTTTATCCACTACTAGGTTAAATAATTGGAATTGGTGGTAAGGTTATTTTTAAATACCAAAATGAACTGTGCACATTAAGCTTCTACTACTGGGCTGTGATATTTTTAATTACGTAGAATTTTACATTTCATAGGTTGACACTGTTTCTCTTGTAAAGATGAGTGTGTACATTGAAATAATGCTTATGACAGAATATGACAGTTGAAAACAAGTTACCTTGCTCCTCAGAAACAAAATATCTGAGATAATGATTAGACCTTTAAAAACCTTCAGATCAGCACAGACGTGAGTATGTGCTGATCAAAGGTGTGTTCGGCAAGCAAAATAGTGCACACAAATCAAGAGATTCACATGCTATATACCTGTGATAAATGTATTCATTACCTGTTGCCTTCATTGATTCAAGCATTTGTTTAGATTCTTTTAACTAACATCTAAATTAGTTCAGGTTTGAGAGATGGCAACTATGTGATTGTTTATCAGCAGCTTTGCCACCTATTCCAAGAAAGGTTCTCTTGTTAAAAAGCTCAGAACAGGAATGTCCTTCTGGCTGAGGTATAGCATCTTTGTAGACTGATGTGGAAATTACCAAAAACTGTGAAATAAAGATAATAGGGATTAGCTTTGCTATGTGAAGTCTTCTGAGTATTTGAATCAAAACCTGTCAGCTGGTACATCATCAGGAGGTAAAAGAAATTAAACTGACCTTTATAAAAAACACTTATTCTAAGTTATTTTACTAGGAATCAAGCTAGGGCACCTTAATTCTGGAAATAATTCCTTTTTTTTTTTTTTTTTTCTTCTTAATATCTGAGTAAACACCAATAGAACTTGAACTGTTAAAGATATTTGCATGAAATTGCACCTGGGCCAATGCTCATGTATTTATATTTTTGCCCAGCAGCTGTTGTATTACATTTTTCTCTTCCTACTCCCTTCTGAAAATATCCTGAAGAGTCTTTGACTCTGTGCCTACTTCAGCAATGAGATTTTTTCATGTAAAGATGTTTGTGTTACTGTTTATAAACTACAGTTGTAAATAAATCAGTACAATTTGAACATAACTTGTTCTGTCAGAAAGCATTTAGTTGCATACTGTGTACATTCTCTGAATCAATTAACAGTTTTTCCTAAAGGTATTTTGTAAATGTAAGTGAATTTAATCTTTGGAGTGGAAGAAGCTGATTATGGATCATAGGGACCTACTTTCCGTGACATCTTAGTGTAAGTATTTTGGAATTTAGAGTTAGACTAATGTGATTAAATACTTTCAGGTGAGCCATAGTAAGCATTCATAGAAAGGCCAAAATGAGTTAACAAATGGTCAAATTATAGAAGGGGTCTCTGCATAAATTCCAGACTTGTCAGCATCATAGTTTTATATTATGAAAATGTTGACAAAATGGTACAACACATTTCTCTTCGTCATTGGGGGTGGGGGGATTGTGAAAAATACACTCAGTTGTTAAACAGGTGTATTTGGGTATTAAATATGGCAAGTGGGTAGCGTGGACACTTCTCTGAGGACAACAAATACAGACCTTTTAGATCTACAGTAAGTAGAGCTACAGGAAGTTAGGTCTTAAATCCCTTCTGTGTAGAAATGTATGATCCAAGCCATTAAGAGGCTAGTTATTTGTAATTTTGAAGGCAATGTGCAAGTTGTCAACAGACTCCTTATCTTACAAAGCTCAGTCCAAACTATGAATAATTTCAGTGGTGTTCTGTGCATCTCTATCCACAATTTAAAGGCTACTATGGCCTCATAGTGTAGGTATCTGTAGTTAGTATGTTTGTTACAAAACTTGTATTGCTAATCAGAAATTCCAGTTATAGTACTGGAGTGACAGTTTTTGAAAAGAAACATCAAAATAGTCAGTATCCCATCCCTTTCATCTTCAAGGAATTTTCTTTAAATTACTGGCCAGAGATTTGCAGGCTGCTGTTTTATTTTGCATGCACTGCTGTCTATATTGTTGAATATAAGATGACAGCTGCTATGTTGCTGGGGTTTTAATTTTTGTTTGTATTTATTTTGGTGATAGAAATGAGGTCTGTAGCAGGAAAGAAACATTCTTCTTGGAGTAAGCTTTCCTGCCAAATGGAAGCTCTTACCTTTTGTGTTTTATAGCCAGGGTCAGTGCTTCTGTACTCATTGATGGCTCTCCAGCTGTCTCACAAATTCGTTTAGATTCTGATCTGTATGAGAATTTGTACAGAACTTTATACGTATTAGCCACCAAAAATACTCCGGCCGTGGAGATGCAATTTTATTTACGTTGCCGTCTCCAGATGTACGTAAAGATTACTTGCCATTCTTTCAGTTGCTATTGGGCCTTGCACATGGGGCTTAGCACGGTTTGTAGCTGTTCCTTCTAACTGCATTTTGGTTGTATCTTCAGAACTTTTGGTACTGTCAGTTAACTGTTCTCAATATAGGTGTAGCCTACTGCATGGCTGAGAAGTTTCCCCTTTTGGGGAAGGAGGGGGTGGAAGCGTGTAACTTGTTCTTTTGGCTGTATTTAGTGCCTTCAGATATTTTTGGTTTGAAACTTGAAAAATACACTGTGTCTTTCTGAACCATGGGAAACACTGGATTTTTAGCCCATGCTTTTCACCTGAAGGGGTGATACTGCCTTACTACTTATTCTCGTTCTTTTTTGTGCTCTGCCCCAAAGCTCGTGTGAACTTGGGAGACAGCAGCTGTTTGTTGAAAGGGCCAGTGTTAAATAAAAAAAAAAAAAAAAAAAAAACTACCACAAACCAAAAAACTTCATATGTGCTGCTTCTACTACCCTGGGCAGCTGTAAAAGGGTGGGAGGCCTGCCAAGGAGCGCCTGCATCTGCTCCTCATCCACAGTTGTCCACTGTTGGTAATTCTGCCATCCTTTGGCTTGGTCAGTGTGGGATGAGGTGTTCCCTGTACTGGGCAGACAGAACAGGTTCTCTGTCGAAGGAAGGTTTATAACTGCTGCAGGCAGTGGTGGTTGTGCGTTTCCCATCCTTCATCTCTCTGCACACATTTCCTGAAAGTGAACATGCGAGAGCTTCATCACTCTGGCTTACCCGTTTCGGCTTATCTTTGCCCCTGCTGGTGTCAGGTGCTTTCAGCTTGTGGAGATAACTCTTGCATGGAAACAGTTGTCTCTGCACAACGTGGAGCTACAGTTCTACAAAGATGCGTTTAAAATCCCCAGCTTGTACAACACGTACGTGAGGCAGCAGTGTTCTGTGTTAAGAGGAGTACTCGGTGTTCAAAGCTAGTACTAAAACCAGCATGGAGGTGCTCTTGTAAAGGAAGATGGCGACGTCCCAGGTGCCCAAGTTGCCTGGGATCCCTTGGGAGGGGCCCCGAGCAGGTACCAGGCTGTCAGGG